GAAAGAGAGAATGAAAATACCCTTGAGCTGCAGGTGAGGAAGGTTCCCTTGAAGTGGGATGAAGTGACCTAAGCATTTTGAAAAGTATGCTGGGGAAAAAAATCTGCTCTTCAATAAAAGTCACATCACCAGTGGTACAGCACACTGTTGATTAGTGATCCAATAGTCTTCCTTGTGTATGGTCCTTCAAAAGAAAGATCTGCCAACAGAACCCAAGGATTTGGGAATCCGTGTAATACCTACCTTAATAAAATTCAGCATCAGTGGGTTGTTTTTTTAATAGCAGATACCCAGACCCAGGGAAATGAATCTTGTCTACAAGTGCTATTCCTTAGGACTTTCCTGTGGCTTCCACTGTTCTTCCTGATGTTTGTATGGAGGATCCTACAGAAAACTGGTTGTGAGCAAGACTCCCTGAATTTTGTGCAAAACGGGCCAAATAGGTTTGATATGTGGATCTGTTCACATGTCTTTCCTAATGGTTTAGAATTCCTCAAGATGTCTACTAGCAGGGTCCAGTAATTTCCCTAGGCTTAGCAACACACATTTCTCAGCCTAGCTTGCAAAAGGGCACTCTTAAAGAAGCTGAATGGTTTAAATGGACATTGCTGTATGCAACAAAAAAATGACTGTTTTCTCTTGTGTGCATGAGGAATCTTTCCCAAATGATACTAGTAAGAGTTCTTTCCTTCCCATTAGATGGACCAGTGACAGCTATCTTTCCTTTCCTACAGAAACTTTTACCCTAGGTTAGGTCTTTAATGTGCTTAGGGCTAAGCCATTTTTTCTGAGTATATTAGGGGAACACTCTTATCTGGTGTCACTGCTACTCAACTCCACCCTTCAATCAGCTCCTCTGTGTCTGGGAACTCTGATACGATGTCTCAGGTTATACAAGACTCTTTCTAACTCTACATTCTCCCTGAAGGTCATTAGTGGATAAAAATAACCCTGGCAGAAAATAGGATGGCAGATGTCCCTGGGCTTTCCTACAGTTTTCCCATTTTGTGTTGGCAGAAATGATGCCTCTGTCATCTCACCCAACTCCATTCTAAGTAACTATCCCACTCCTGACCTAGGAAAATGTCTGATGCTCTCTCAACCTCAAAGCTTAACTATACAAATACAAAGGAAAAATGGATTGCCCTTTTCACCTCTTCTAGTTTCTGAAGACAGGATTCATTAGGTTTACTTATAATTCTGATCAAATAGATCAGATCCAGTAAGTGGGAGGCTAACCATGCCACAAAAGGTCCCTTCCGGTTAGATTTGATGTTCCCAGTATCCTTTCACTAGGTGCTATTGGACAGGGATACAGCTCTTGGCTATAGTTTGGAGCAGGGCTTACCACGTGAAAAGCTCTCCCTTAGAAGAACGGATGGAGGGGTCAGTTTCTTATTCTTTCTTCTTACCCTATTAGGCTTCCTTCCTTCATCCAGCTTTTAGTCTTGTTTTTTGTGGGTGTACCCTGTGCCTGTTGGAGTCACAAGTGCACTCCTGTTAAAGGGTGAAATGGGGGGAAGCAACTCTGACCCTCGCTCCCTCTGAACATACCTCTGGCAGGACAATGGTTATGGAACCAAGCAGTGTCTGCATCTCTAATGTTTGCTAATCCATATCTGAATGTATCAGTGTTTGAGAACAGCTGTCAATTCTCCTATTTCAGTGCCTGGGACTGAGGTGGTACAGACACTAAGGCGCATCCTGTCAGATTCCAATGAATCTGGATTCTGCTAGATACCTTGTCAAAAGGATATGAAAAAGGAAAGGGAAGTGCCTTGGACTGGATAATCTAAGAGTCCTTTGACCTAACTCCTTTGTGCAGATGTAACAGTAACAGCGTCCTACCCTTGGGGTGGTCATGATGCCCCTGGAGCCCCCTCAATCCTTATTCACTTTGCTCTTCTTTGGGCAATCTCTCCTTCCACTGTCCTGCCATGCCTTGATGTATTCATCTTTTAGAAAAGGGAAGCTGCCCCAGGGCTTCCCAGGCCAAATCTCACGCCCCTGAGTTTGGGTGTCTCCGTTCTCCACCTTAAGGGCTAATTACATGGGCTCTGTCCTCCCCAGTATCCATGCTTCACAGACCTCATATATACTAATCAGATCATAACCACCCCTATGGGCTACAGGCTTCTGGCTCTGGTCCTTACACCAACCTCTCTCTGTGGCTCTCTTGGCCTTCAGTCCTCCTCCTTAGATCCTGGCCCTGCTCCTAGGTCAGTTGAGACCCATGGGTTCTCCAGCCTTGCCAGTCTCCAGCTGTGACTCTTGTTGGCCTTTGGCCCTTCCTGAGCTCTGGCCCCACTCCTAGGCCAGTGAGATCTATGGGCATCCTGGCCCTACCTGCTCCCTGGGCCTTTTGTTCCTTTGCTCTTTTTATGAGCCCTCTAGCCACTGCTTGTTCTCTCTGGGCTCCCTGGCCTTCCATTCTCTATTTGGACCCCTTTGCCCCTCTCCTTGGGTCAGCTGGGACCTTCTTACCTCCCCTTAGTCCCCTGCACAAACCACCAGTCGTTCCCCAGATCAGGTTGAATGCTCTCTGTTCTGCCAGGCCTGAGGCTGAACTCCTAGCCCTAAGGCTGCACACCTACGGACATAACAATGTGGGCCAGAGTCACTTTCTCAGCAGCCTGCTCAGGAGCTCCTTCCCTGTCAGCTGCCAAGATAAGACTCCTTGCCTCAGCTCTGGTCCTGGGGTTATATCCTCCCTAAGTCTGGCCCCTTGCTGGTGACTCCCCTGATTGCCACTTGAGCCCTTACTGCAGCCTCTTCCCTTAAAGTATCAGGTACACTAAGTGCCCCGTCACATCCACCAATACATACACATGTGCCTAAATCCCCACCCCACCCCTACAGAAGCCCTTAATGGTGGGCTTGGATCCTGCAGTCTTCAAGCACTGCTCACACTGCAATGTGCTGGTTCTCCTTAAAGATGGGGATAGCAGGCATCTCTCTGGTTGAGGGAATCCTGCATTCCAACAACCTGGGTCTGCTTCTCATTTTCTATATCTTCAACACTATATATCTTGGTGGCACAGAAGCGGAAAGGGATCTTGGAGTCCTAGTGGACTCCAAGATGAACATGAGTTGTCAGTGTGACAAAGTCATCAGGAAAGCTAATGGCACTTTATCGTGCATCAGCAGATGCATGACAAACAGAACCAAGGAGGTGATACTTCCCCTCTATCGGGTGCTGGTCAGACCGCAGTTGGAATACTGTGTGCAATTTTGGGCGCCACACTTCAAGAGGGATGTGGATAACCTGGAGAGGGTCCAGAGAAGGGCCACTCATATGGTTAAGGGCTTGCAGGCCAAGCCCTATGAGGAGAGACTGGGGCACCTGGACCTCTTTAGCCTCCACAAGAGAAGGTTGAGAGGCGACCTTGTGGTTGCCTATAAGTTCATCATGGGGGCACAGAAGGGAATTGGTAAGGCTTTACTCACCAAGGTGCCCCTGGGGGTTACAAGAAATAATGGCCACAAGCTAGCAGAGAGCAGATTTAGACTGGACATTAGGAAGAACTTCTTCACAGTTAGAGTGGCCAAGGTCTGGAACGGGCTCCCAAGGGAGGTGGGGCTCTCCCCTACCCTGGGGGTCTTCAAGAGGAGGTTAGATAGGCATCTAGCTGGGGTCATCTAGACCCAGCACTCTTCCCTGCCTATGCAGGGGGTCGGACTCGATGATCTATTGAGGTCCCTTCCAACCCTAACATCTATGAAACAGTCTACGCGAATAGTATTAGGCCCAGGTGATGTGAGCTGTAAGATCACCATACTAGTCAAGCTTATGGTATCCAGTGTTGTAGGTTGTA